AAAAAAAAAAAAGATTCATTAATTAAAATTATGAAGACAAAAGGAAAAAAAATTCATTTAATAACTTCTCGATTAACATTTGTTACTGGTATTATTTCACCATTTTCTTTTAAATCAAATAATAATCGTGAACCCATTGCATCAGCAATAGCAACTTGAAATGTTAAACCAAATGCATCTTCAATAGTCATACCTTCGTTTTCTTCATTAAATGTTAAAAGACTTTTTAAACTTCTATATATAGTCTAAAGAATAAAAATTATTATTGATCAGGCAAAAAAAAAAACAAAAGAAATTTAACCGGATGTGATGTTTCAAGATCTTCAAAAGTACCAATTTTACCCATTAATTTACGATAAAGAACAGGTGGAAATTTAATATCAAGAATAATTGAATTATATATAGCTAAACCTAATAACATGCCTATTAATGTATATTCACGATCAAGATCTTCAGCAGCTGATGGATTAAACCATAAACAACGTGTTTCTTCATTTGTCATAAACATACCTAAGATGACAAGAAAACTTGTTTTCGTTAAAAGATTCAACAATTGAACTCTGGATTATATATATATACATAAGAAATCAAGTCCGGCTAATTCTGCTACCGGAAGAATGAGTGTGTTACAGTTTCAATATATTTTATTCGTTTCATAAATTTTGAACGGTTGACTAGGTAAGTATGAGCGACATCTTTTTTTGTTCTTTAAACTATGCTCTACAACACGATGCGGTTTTCACTTCTTGTACTTGGCTCACACACCTTGATAAATCCAAATAAAAGTATGAAAGATTCTCTAAAAATTTTTAATGAGTCAAAGTATACTTCGGATTTTTTGTTCAGATAGATAAAGGAGTGAGCGAAGTACTTACACCAAATAAGAAGTTTGTTTTCTAGAACGTTGTTTAAGGGAACAAAATTCACATATTCCTAGTCAATTGTTCAAAACTTATGAAAAGAATAAAATACATTGAAATGGTAACACATTCACTCTACTTCAGTTGCCGTAATAATCAGATAAGTTGTTTCATCTTTTCGTATTATAATAAACATCGAAAAATATTGAAAAGAAATGAAAACAACTAACGTAATACATTTCATTTTAACAATTGATACTCATTGATTCTTCATTACTAATTAATCGAACGTGTATCAAATCTTTATCTACAGGCGTGGATGTAACTATCGATTGATAAAAAAGATTATTCTGTTTCATTGCTGTCTCTAAAAAAAACATGACTTAAAAAAATCAATAGATTTGAAAAAATCTCTTTTTCTTTTAAAGAATTCTTTTCCATCTACAGACAAGATACATCTCAGGGATGTGTAGTGTGATGTTGATTAATGCATCAAATATATTTTAAAAGCTTCCTAATAGTTCGCCGAATAAGAGATGGCAAAACATTAAATGACTCCTGCGACGACCATCAGGAGGTAAACGGAGGAATGATATATATTACGCATAGGGATTTTTAATAAACCTTATCACATTAGAATTCGAACAAAATATTTATCTTTGATTCAATGCCTTCATTGATAATATTATTATTTAGAGGACCAAAAAGATGTTTTTTTAAACAAAAATGCGTATCGAAAATACATATATTGTTAAAAATATGTTTCCATATATTCAGCTTTTCTTTTTTCCTATTAGTCAAACCAGAAAAAAAATAATAAATACTGATTTTGCGTAATCAGGACTATCACAATAGTGGAAAAAAAAGTAAGACATTTCGTAGAAAAAAAAAACGAAAAGTTTATAAGATTAAACTCGCTATCGAAACATAACAACTAATGTATAGCAACGTACCATATTCTGGACTAAAAATTTGTTCAGTAATAAGTTGAAAAAATTCTTTTGATAATCCACCTAGAAAATATATAATAATAATAATTAATAAAAAACCAAAAAATATTCATATTTTAAAGAAATTTTCAATACCTTCATCATGACCTTGTTCGCCTTCGAATTCGACAAAGAATTGTTTTTTAAGTTCATCAGGATGTTCAATACCTTGATATTCGAGCTAGACAAAATAAATTGTCTTCTATAGAAAGAAAATTTGTGTAAGGAAACACAGATCATTTTAACATACCGAAATAAGTGCATCTTCAATTAAATGATTACGTCGAACATGTATTTTAAAAAATGGATTTAAACGAATTGAACTAAATATATTATGAACAAATATTGAACGTCGTTGAAGATACATTCGTGCTTTACTTTCAATATTAAGTAATGCTAAAAAACAATAGAAAATTTTTTTTTTTTGAAAAAAAAAAAATATTTATATTAAATTACCTATTTTATTTATAGTTGATAAAAAAAATGGATAGAAAATAAATGAAAATTGAATAGAACTAGTTGGTTGTTGAATAAAATTTAAATATTCTTTTCTAATATCAATTTTTTCATTAGCATATTCATTAACAAATATATCAAAT